AGTAGCAGGTAGTAACACTAGCACAGTCACAATTTACACATAATGAAAATTCATCGAGTTTTTCTAGTAATAATTCTTTGCACTCGACAATGTTTTTCTTAAATATTTTCTCTTTTAAATAACGGTTCCCAATAGGTAACAAAGTTTTAAGTATACATTTTAAAAAAAAAACTTTATTGCTTCTTAACCATATAATTGGTTATCATACCAACGAAAACATTGTTTCAATACCATGTGGGGGAAATAATTACCAGAAATAGTGCATAGTAATACGAAAATGTTACCAATTGTTTTATATGGTAAATAAATATGAGAACAGAAGAGATGAAATTATCTGTAAAAGGAATTCATTGTTTAATATAAGAACCTACTATACATATATATACATTAAATAATTGGGTATTAAGAACTTTAATCGGAATTCATTACATTTTGAACAACATTAAGTAAAATTATTATTTTATTATGAAACTTCCTAATAGGGATAAAAAAATACACTGTTTACAATTTTTAATTTATTTAGAGTATAGTTTATTTATACGTATAAAACAATAATAATAAATAAATAAATAAAAATTTACAATTTATAATTACAATTTACAACATTCTATGACACATCATAATGTTCTTGAAGTTGCACATACGTGAAAGAAATTAGTTTATTTCGGGATTTGTATGTGCTAATAATATAGACGTGACTAAATTTAAACGAAGAATAATAAAAATCGTGCTATAAATAAATATAATATTTAAACATACCAATCAGCATTAACTTTTTTTGCACTCATTTTTGATAAATTCAAAGAACTAATATTGATATTATTAAGTCGATTTAAGATTACACAGTCACTGATGAAGGGTGAATGTTTTTTTTTTTTTTTCGAAATGAGAAAACATGGGCTTTGGATAGAAATTAGATAAGTTAAGATCAGTTTTGGATAACTTGTCAATCTTAATGTTTCAGGATAAATTAATTTTGAACTATAAACGTTTAGTCTAGTGAGCATTTGTGCATCGAAATTAAATGGTAAAGGAAAAGGTTAAACCTAGGCTTAAAATTAACTGGCAAAAATTTATTCAGTAAATAATAAATTTGAAAATCATGAAAGGTTTTCCTGACTTTAATATTGATATGCAAAGAATTAGTAATACAGTAATGACGAATAATAGCGAATAATAACGAGTAATAACGAGTAATAACGAATAATAACGATTGTAATAATCCTTAAAATAAATAAAGTCTTAAGCTTTGTACATACGTACGTACGTAAAAATAGCGACAATAAAAAATTCGAGGTAGTCAAAGAATCGAAAAACAAAATAATACAAGCCATCACGTGCATTTCACGCACTCATGTCCAGTATAAATGCCGAAATACGCAACATGATTTATGCGCATAAACGCAATGAAATTTACGAATAATTCATGATACTACAAAAAAACGACATTTACTATTATTGACGGTAAAATTGTTGAATTACGGCATTTTGCATTTTTTCTTTATACAGCACCACTGCAATTTATTGCTACATTTCTACATTGCATTGTGGAATAAATGTGGCATTATTGCAATTCTGGAAAGCGAATTAACTTTACCGTTAATAATAACCGTGACCACCTCATTCGACATGTTAATACTGTAGTGTATGTACGTATGTACATATATATGTGCATAATTTTCATTTTAATAATTTTAAAGGAAATAAAGAATTTATGTAATTTGTCGGGACTTAACGACCTTTAATTGACTGAATTTAGTCTATTTTGAGAGTTATTTAATATATAATACAAATTTTTTAGAAGCTCTATCTAATATCGCAACACATGATAATATTTATATAAAAACGTCATTAAAATGCCAGGTTAGATATATATAGTAATTTTTTGCATAATAAATATTTTATCATTAAGCATTTCGGACCAATATACGTAATACACTGTATAAGATTAAAAATATAACTATAAATTATACTGCAGATTATAGTACACATGTTTATTGTTATACAAACTAAGCTGTCAGTCAAATTCCAAATTGGTACAAAATGAAGTCGCTTTTTTTATTCATTCATTCATTCTAAATGAGTTATATTCTTTTAACTGTAGATTTTTTTACGTACGTACGTACGCACGTATCAGGTACGTACGTGCGCATGTACGTACGTACGTCCTTCCCCACATAGAAGGCTCCTCGTCTTTAAATCAATTTTAAAATTAATAAAATTGATATACCATTAATATGATAAGAAGTTTAAATTATTGATCGACAGGCTACTTTTTGTATACAGTAACATAAATTCATTGTAATGTCTGATCGATTGAAAACTTGATAAATAACATCTGATATAGTAGAATTAGATTTAAATATAGATAATGAATACTTAATAAGTAAAAATTTTTGCGTAAATATTATGCAGTTATTCGGAGATTCATAAAGATTATTCCGATCATCTAACAAAATTAAATTGAATTCGAAGGAGTTAATTTTTTATGAACTTTCAACGGCGCTATTTTTAACCGTAATTACATAAGTACGTAGTTTTCTTTCTACATTGAAAGCTTGTAAGAAGCTGAATTCTAGTTTCTTTCTGTAATTCATATTTGGCTAAGTTAAATAATCTATTTCGATTTAAAATACGTAATCGAGTGACAATGAAGAATTTTTCTAGGTCAAATTTACTACAATTATTTGTGACACAGGTAGAAAGATTTCCGACTATTATTATTGTTTGTATTTTGCAATAAGTATAAAACTCACATTATCTACTATGTTGAAGACTTTTGCGTTAAAATTTTTAAATTTAAAATTAGTCTAACTATAATAGTAAATTTTAAATATAAAGCTGACGATCAATCTTAAAAAAAAACGTAATGTTAAAAATCAGGGTTCTGTTACTCTGAGTGTTAGTATACGATAAGCAATCTTTAGAACAGATGAATTTTAGGTCTATTTCAGTATTTAAACCGTTTTTACTCCACGCTTATTCCGATACACGGCCTACTTTGACATAACTCCGAAATCATGTGATATCCTTTTCTAATTGGCATAGGGCATACGGTAAAATAAATATCCGAATGGAAGGATCTAAACCGATTAAACATCGGTTAACAGGAGTTTATATTACGCATTTTGATCATTGAGTTTTATGTACGTAGGTATGGTTTTAAAAAAAAACGAAAGTGAATCAATCATTATCAATACTTCAATTTTTGATGAATCTAGCAATTCTTGCAATGCATTTATTACTTTCATTGTTTGTTTGTTATTTCTTTTTTGGACTGTAAATTTTAAAGTTAAGTGGCAGATACTCTTAGCTTCAAAAAATCTACTTAAGTAAAATCCAATAATTTAATTGAATAATAATAATTGTTAAAAAGTATGCCGCCGATCATTTCACAATTAATTTAGTAATATTTGACGCGGAGAAATGAGAAAAAATTTTACCGTATAATTTCTTTTTAAATTGATTCTTAGAATTTCTTTCAAATATTATACATGTAATATATTCATACGTAATAAATATGTAATACTACATATGTATATTATACGTAATACTACATACTATATGTAATACTGCATGAAAAATAGCACAAAAGAACTATCTTAAACTATCTAGAAAGTTTACGTTTTAAATTATGTAAGAATGAAACAGATAATCCCAATTTAAGGACTGCCTCATTGTTTACAGTGCGAAAAAACTTGTAATTTCCGTTTATGCTTTACAGTTTTCCTTAATTATCGTTATCATTATTATTATAATATTTATAGTATTTATTTATTATAACTTACTGTATTATTATTGTCGTTATCAGTAATTGCTGAATCTGTAATTGCGGTAATCGCGGGAATTTTCCATCTTAAAATTAATAATTATAAATGAATAATCACAAAATCTAAAAACAAATTTGAAAACAAAAACAATCTGAAAACAAGATTTATCAATCTAAACGTAGAGCTATTTCCTTTATAAACAATGAATATCTCGGGGAACAACTCCGCCAACTTAGTAGTTAACTTATGATGTAATTAATCTCGGACCCATGATGACAGTTTACCCGCTCTAAAATTATCTATTTATCCATATCAGATATGAACAAATTGGAACCCAATTTTCAATTTATCCTTTAATTTATCTATTGTCACAAACTCACTGTTAAAAGTATAACAGTCATAACGATTCTGTTACTGTACGTACGTACGTACGTACTCGCACGTGTATATATCAGGTCCATATCCCTTTTTGTATTATACAATGATTCGGTGTAAAGAGGACCAAAATTTGCAAAGTTACTTAAAATGCTTTGTCGATTTACACTTCATACCATAAATGGATAACTGATACTCTTTTTTCAATAAACAAATCTGTATATACAAATTGGAAATCTTAGTCTAAAAATAGTTTTATATTACAAATTTTATTATTAATTGTAACCATTATTGTTATTTATTTTAAAAAAGGTTTTCGTTTTACATATTCGGAATTATGATGATAAATTGTTCAAAAATTTTAATTAAATACTGTATCGAAATCGATATTCAATACTGTATATAATAGTATAATATCATATACTGTATTTAATTAACTAATTACATCAATTATATCATGTGACTACCGAGATTGTATATCTTGATTTAATGTCGTGTTAGCTTTCATGACTGACTCATGAAATTGTATGCATAAATATTTACATATATACATGGTCCTATCGTAGTTGCACGTCGAAGACGTAAATAATAAAAATCATAAATTTACATACCTTGTCTCGTTTTCTGCACTCTTTGCAGTTAATGTATCTCGGCTTCAAATAAAAAGTGGGATAACTTTATTATAGAGTTATTATTTTATTTTCTTTTATAGACTGAAAAAAAAAAAAGGATTGTTTTTTTTTGGGGTCCCTAGTAAATAACATTATTTTAAGATTTAGTATAAATATTCTCACGAATAGTACTTATTACCCTCTTTCAATCCTTGTATTCTTATCGCTAACTCTCTTCACAAAAATGTCTAAAAAAACTTTATTCGGAACGCTTCTATTTGAACTTACGAAAACGTATGCACGTTTAATTTTTGCTCTTTACCCCTTTATATAATATTATTAATGTTTATTAAATGTTTATTAATGAATTTTTTCCTTTTTTAGTTTCACGGATTCAGAACATGGTATCTGCCAAGATTGTCTTCAACCAAATACCGACAGGAAATGGTGTCAATCTTGTAACGCTGAAAATTTTCGTAAAAACTTTTCAAACTGGACCAGCGGTAATAAACATATCGATATGTTTATTCAAGATGCTCAACTTACCGCTGCCAATCATTATGAAGTCTTGGAATGGATACCTTATGATCAATTGAAGAAGGTTACTTTCATTGCTAATGGAAGGTATTCTACCAATTCCAAAGCTGTTTGGAGTAAAGGTGATATTTTACAATGGGATCATGATAAAAATGATTGGTCTCGTTTTCAAGGATCAATTGAGAATTGGTCTTACTCTCAAGATAACGCGACTGGTTTAAATGGTAGAATAGTTTCTTTGAAAAGTTTTCAAGATTCTTCCGATATTTGCTCCGAATTAGAAAAGGTTTGTTTTATTATTAATAATAATGTTTTTTAATTAATACTTATTAATAACTTATTAATAACTTATTAATACTTATTAATACTTATTTACTATATTATCATAGTTGAGACATTATTTACAATCTCTTAAAGAAGCGATAAAGAATGATAACATGTTATTACCATTATTTGGTATTACCCAACACCCTAAAACCTCTGAATACATGATTGTGACGAATTACGCTGAAGGTGGTAGCTTGAGAAATAATTTGCAATATATTCGCAAATTAAGTTGGAAGGAACGTTTGGAAATTTTACTTGATATTGCTTATGGGCTTGCTGGTCTTCACAAATCTGATTTACTTCATAGAAATTTACATAGTGGTAATGTTTTCCTATTTAAATCCTTGGAAGATGAAAATAGTGATAAAAATTATTCTATGATTGGCGACCTTGGATTACCTCAATCTGTTGGATATTATACTTCAAATCATGATGAATTTTATGATTTTCTTCCTTACGTTGCTCCTGAAGTATTAAGGGGTAACCTTTACACAAAGTCTGCTGAAATTTATAGTTTTGGAATGCTGATGTGGGAAATTACTTCTGGTGAAACTCCATTTAGCAATATTCCACATGATAAACATTTAAGTTTTGATATCTGTTCTGGTATTAGACCTGAAATTTATCATGATATACCACAATGTTATTCAGCTTTGATGAAAAGATGTTGGAGTATGGATCCATTTAATCGTCCATCAGCAATTACTTTATGTAATATTTTTGAAGACTGGTGTGAATATTATGATGATAATATTAAAGACATTGAAGATAAAAATATTCAATTGCCTATTATGCAATTTCAACATGCTGACAAATTACTTCGTGCACAGTCTAGACATTCTAGCAATTTCTATGCTCCTTATTATACAAACATTGGTTTTTCAAGTTACAAAACCTATGACAATAAAAAAGACCAAACTCGTTATTATTATTAATCGAGATTGATTCCCGATTACTATAGATGTTATACATTTATTTATTTACTTATTTAAATTATTCATTCTATTTATTTATTTATTTATCATCAATCTTTTTGACAAACCTACATTTTTTTTTTTCTTACTTTGCATTAACTTTGCAAAAAGTGAAGAAAAAACCTTTTTTTTTTTTTTCTTTTACAAGAGTAAAAGAAAAAAATTAGAAATATGCATATTTCTTATTCAAACTCGAATACATTTTTTTTTTTTTGTTATCGATTATCGATACATCGATACTTATTATATGATCGTATTTTTTTTAAAATACTTTTCATTCTCGTTAGTGTTAATAAATCGTTTTATTACGCATTTAATATTCGAATTGGCAAAATCGTTTTTTACTTTTTCATTAAAAAAACACAATTGGCAAAATATGGACAATATGGCATTCATTTATTTATTACATTTTTTTTTTTTGTATATTGTATGAACAATTAATCTTAAGGATAAAAAAAAAACATTTTAGAATAAATCTTTTTTACTTTTTTTGACCTTTAATTTATTCTTGATTGTCGAAAAAAAAAAAGTTTTATGAAATTAATAGAACTTTTTTTGTAAATTATCGTAGTCTGCAGTTTCTTTTCGACAGTTACTTTTTGGTATTAGTTTATTTTTATTTACCGAAATTTTTTCAAAATTTCATACGTATACTCCATACGTTTCACATGACGATGAATGACGAAAAAAAACTTTATATTTTGTTATTCTAAAATGAACCATCGTAAATCTATAGATATATTTTTTTTAAAAAAGAAAACAGGTGAGGGGCGTTACTGTTTACCCCTCAAGCAGATCGATAAGGCATATACGTATATGCATACACTTAGCCGTTAAGGGACAATACTTTTATTTACGCCCGAATATACTAATTGATTGACCGCACCCTGAAACTTTACGGGGTATTGCTTTATCCAGTAATACAATGTTTCTAATGCTCTCCTAAAAATCTAGAGAAAATTTTAAGAATTTCAAAATATTCTACAGTATATAATTTATTTGATGTCGATACATAAAAATTATGTATTGTTATTACTGTAAATTCATGATAAAAAGTCTGATTAGCAATTAAGGTACTGTAGATGAATTTTAATATCATACTGTCCCTAAATGGGCAATCGACTCCCCTTCGACAGCTAATACCGAAAGGGGGGTTTTCCTAATCCATTACCCAAATACGGGGAAAGTCTCCAACCGGTCTACGGGAGCTAAAGATAGTGCGGATCCGCCATAGCATATTCGCATATCAGGACGAATTTTGTATAAAATGGCCGGAATTTAAGATGGAGTAACATCGATACAAAAGTATCGGAGCAGCATTTTTGTCTCGAATAGATCACGGGTTGATCGCTGATGCATTGTCGTATGATTTTGTAGTATTTAAGGGGATCGGGGGTTTTTTCCGGATAAGGTAATTTCTGGTTTTCTGCTACTGACTTTGTCTCCCGCCCCTGCAAACGATCTTGCAGTCTGCATAGGTGCTATAATTTGATGGCCAGTCGGAACGACAGTCATTGCCGTATCCGAATAATTTTCGATCCTATGCGGATTTATAAATAAACTATCCGAACAATGTTTATCAGTGACTACATATAAATAATATATAGATTATTATTATTCTTTAATGTTAATAACGTATAAATAATAGATCATTATTTTTTAATGTTTTATTATCAATACTTTCGTTAAAAATGTCTACTTCTAACAAATACGAAGCATATCTGATTCTAAAATTACCAACTCTAATGAATTAACGAATCTTCTGATGAAAAATTCATTTAGACTTATCAGGAAAGATCAGTTGGGCGTGGACATTTTTTTGACAAGAACTGTGACAAATATTCAATATGTAAAATCTAAGAATTAAATAGTAATAAAGAACTTTTTAAAAGAATGATATTTTAAAAAGGAATATCGATCAATACCAAAATATCCATCCTGAAAAATATGTTATTATTTAGCATAAGCGAGTATAAGTTTATATAAATAGAAATAATTGTAACCTTATATGTGCTTGTTAATTATAGCGATAGAATTGTTGAGAAAAATAAATATATTATTTTCATTAAAATATTAAAAAGGATTACGGATAATCTGATCTGATTTAATATCAGATACGGATATATCCGTTTAAATAATATCTATGTTACAGCTGTTTTCATTAATTTTGGGAATGATTATTTTGGCCGATTCGATAAGTTTTTGATAAACTTTTGATTAGTAATATAGCGATTGTATTCTGAACGATACTACAATGTCAACTATCCAAAATTAATTTTTTGTTTGACTGTATATAACTCAAGTTATAATTTCAAACAACCAAGTTTTTATTAATATTTGTCGAAACTGCATTGAAAATTATAATCAGTAAAAATCTATAAAAGTATTTCATTTATTTATGTAATATAATTTTTAAAATATAGACCAAAAAGAAATCAGTATGAATCAGATGAAAAATATTGAAGAACCATAGCTTGTTCGTCTATAGTAAACATTTTAAAAATGGCTAGTTTATCTGAAATAATCGCTATTGAATTTGAAATATCCAACTTGTCTGAAGTAATAGCAATTGAATCTAGTATAATCCGAAGTGCAAAAATAGTGATATCGATATACATTATCTCTGTCATTAGAAAGATATACACATTACGCAATCGTTCATTACCGAAATCAAAAACTTATCGAATCGTCATTCGGTCAATTTTTTACCAGATATCCGAAATTAATGCAATCACCCGGATCGTTACTCTACGTCATAGCACTCATGGCAAATAGTAGCATTAAACGTGGGTTCTTCATTCGATACTCTCAAGTTAAAGGGACAGAATGCCCATAGCTGTTTTCTATTTGTAACACCCGACGAAATCTGCTTTTGATTGAACGAACCATAAATTATCAGATTTGAAAATTCAACTTCGATCAATTAACGGCACGGGATGTTAAATAGGGTTCTGCAAACCCGGCAAATGCGTGTACAAAAAAAAAGTTTAAGGCACGGGCATAACCTGATTTTAAAATTTGGAGCGCCAACAAATGATACTGTATAATGATATTTAACTATATTATATATCTCTTTTTTTTTATTACGATTTACTATAACTCCAGTTATATTATTATCCACGGTAATAAACAGGGTGGTGATTTAGAAGTGAAAAAGTCATATAATACATAGTATACATAGTATAGACTAGCATATGCGAAAAAACATTGTGACACTAAAAATAATTACAGGCACTTGGGCGCTAGTATTTCTGCCCGGCACAGTGCCGACAGTGCCTGGCATAACGCCAACGTTTACTTGCAGAACCCTAATGTTATTCGTTAAAGCAGTATAGAAATTAGCAAGAAATATATATTATACTAAAATTTTGTAAGGATTTTTTTTTTTGTTAGAACACAATAGTATTTTGTACCAAATTTTAACGTTAAGATGCTGCGATTTTTGAAAAACTTCAATCCTTTTTGTAAATTTATGCTATACGGATCTTGTGGTTTGATTGGTAAGTTACTGATGGGTTCAGTAACTTACAATAAAAATTTATAATGATAAATTACAACTTTGGTGATCGCATATTTCGCTTTAGGGTAGCTAATTTACATGTAAGTTACTGTATTTTATTGATATAAGTTTTAATGTAACTGACGTAAATTACTTGTAAGTTATATAAGTTATTAATTAAATTAATGCTGGTAAAAAATTGTCACATGATTCGGCCAGCTCTAGTAAACTATATCGTTACTTACATAAGAGTCTTGTGAATTACAGTAAGTCACTGCATGTAAATTACATTGTCAATTAGGTTTTAGCAAACCTATTTCGTATATTTCTATCTGATTCGCATAACCTGCAGCATAATTTAAAAAATTTATCGCATAAGAATTGTAAAGCAGGCAGAATTTGGGGTCTGACATAGCACAAAATGAGGGCATTTCCCAAAAATCAGTTACGTAGTGGCACTTAAATTAAATTTCCGGTAATTCATTTTTGAATGACAGATAATTTTGTAATTATTACATATCAATATACAGTATTACAAATAAATATACTTATCTTTTTGAACGATAAAAATTTTTTCTTATTTTTTTGCAAATCGTGCCGAAAGTATAAAGCTTTAAAGCTTTTCAAGGAAATAAGACTTGCTCCGAATGTTTAGTACGTTTTAGAGATAATAAAAAATGAAATAATGAAGTAAGTAATGCTGATAACTTGGTGTTGAAGACAATGTGTTTGATGTGGAAAATACTACAGACATAATTTACAAACTCTTGTAAGCATGGATATATTAATGAAAATGAAATTTTGAAATTAATTAAGTACATGGATTAATGAAATTCCCTTGGAGATAGAAGAATACACTGCAATTGCAAATAATGTTGTCAAACTTGGTGAGCAGGGATGATTACATATACATTTTGATAAGCACGATTCAAATTTGGACGAATATATGATTCAGAAACTAGTGAGGAATCTATGATTATCAAAGCAATTAAACTGAAACAATACTTAAAAAGGTGTTATTTATTTTATATTTTTTTAAAATCCAACAAAATTAACTCTTTTTAGATAGTAGAATTTATTGAAAATAATCAAATTTTCCCCAACAAAACAAATGGCTAAATGCGATTGAAAAAAACTTTGATCAATAAAATGGAATTCGAAATGCAGAAACATTAAAAAAAACATGGAGTGGGCATATTTCAATTTGTAGTAGTGATTTTTCAAAAAGATTTATGCAATAATTTAAAAACATTTCAGGCTATGAAATACTCGGTGGATATAAATTTTTTTAATGGGATAAGTTTCATTGCGCAAACATGCAGTGTTTTATTTAAATTTAATACTATCTTAAGTTTTAAATCATATTAAAATTAAATTTGTGATTTATCTTTTATTGATATATGAAATTTCATAATAAAACTATTTTGATCTAAAGTTCTGTAAAATTAAATAAAAAAATTCA